TTTTGAAATAGAGCATGGAGAGCAAGTATTTAATTGCAGAGTAGGCAAACTCCATTTTAGCTTCTTGGGTGTGATTCTTGGCTCAAGTTCGAGAAAAGCCAGCACATAGAAACTGGTGACCAAAATGTTCAAAGAAAGATTAGTGAAATGGCAAAAGAAACTTTTGTCTTTCGTTAGAAGGATAACGCTAATAAACTCTACACTTTCTTCTTTTCCCTTACTATATTTCCATTTTAAAGCTCTTAAAAGTGTGTTAAAGAAATTGGATACGTTGAGAAGGAACTTTTTTTAAGAGGGTGATTAGAATAAAAAAAAATGACAAAAGTAAGATGGGAGTGTTGTTGGTGTATTTTCAAAATTAAAGACTGTCACATAATGAAAAGCTATCTTAGATAAAAAGTTATGTTACATAAAGTGTCATAGTGTGACTATTAAATTATAGGTAGGTTTTCATGTGAATGGTTATGTCTTTTGGTAAAATGACATCCAAAAGTTATAAGACAAATTGAAAAACCACCTTAGTTAATAGTTTAAATATGAAAAGTTATTATTTCAAATTATAACTCAAAGATTATGCTTTATGAAATGAATAGTTATCTTTTCATAAGATAATTATTGAAATAATATCTTTATCCAAAGGTTGTGTCTTGCAAATGGTAAAGATATCTTTTAGATAAAATAATGCCTTAATGAAAATGTTATGTCCTTGAAGAAGAGACACTTGCAAACTTATATAAAGGGCTTGTTGTCAACCATTTTGAGACATCAAATCGAAAATAAAATAAGACCAAAAAAATCAAGAGTAAGAAAAGTGTTGTGTTTTATTAACCTAAACATTTAAGTTTTCATCAACTACAAAAGCGTCTAAATCCCTTATAATCTACTTGCTGCAAAAACTAGGCTCTAAGACTGAACAACTTTGCAAACTCTTAGAGGTATCTAATGGTCTACTCTCGTAAAGTGCAAGATGAAGTTAGATATTGGCTTTATTGTATTCTTAAGGCTATTCGTATTATTCTTCTTTGCATACCGAGTGATGGGAATGAAATAAGTCTTAAAGATATCGTCTATTGAAAGGCTCATTTTGAAGTCAATCTTACTGATTCTTTAAATTCCATTTACACCTCATTTGCACCAACAAGTGTTGGCAAAATAATGAAGCAAATGAAAACAAAACCTTGTCTGATGTGTGATACATTGTAATTTTTGTCCTTTTAAAATATGAAATTTGGTGCAAAAAGATTGTAGTGATTATCTCAGGATTCAACAGACTTTTCTTTATTAGTTTACGCAAACTATCAAAATACGAGAAAGAACAGAAAAATTAAAAACAAGAAAGAACCTAGTAAAAGAAAGAAGTGAAGGAAACAGAGAAAAAGAAGGCGGGAAAGTTGAGAAGAGAAATATGAGAACTGATGTGTGTTGAGAATTGGGATAGAGGCTGATATTTATAAGTTAAGGATAGAGGGGCAGAAAAGTTGAAAAGAGAAGATATGAGAATTAATGTGTGTTGGGAATTAAGGTGGAAATTAGTATTTATAGGCTGAGGATAGAAGATAATCAAGAAATAATCAAAATATTCTATAATGTTATACAATGTTCTGGAATACTACTAAGTTTATAACATTCTGAAAGACTACTGATTTAATAAAATACTAACTTTTTACCAGGACAAAAAGATTTTTTGGGAACTAACGTGGAGGCTAGTATTTATAGATTGAGGATAAAGGAGAATAAGGAATAAGATTGTAGAAAATAAAGAAAACATCAAAATGTTCTGTAACATTATACAATGTTCTATAAGATATTACAGAAAATCAAGAAAAAATCAAAATATTTTATAACATTATACAATGTTTTGGAAAACTAAGCCTATACTGTTTTGAAAGATTAATTCAAGAAAAAATCAAAATATTCTGTTCAAGAAAAAATCAAAATATTTCGTAACGTTATACAATGTTCTAGAAGATTAAGTCTATAACATTTTGAAAGACTAATTCAATCAAAGACTAAATTTTAACTACAGTAAAAAGTCTAAGTCAAAGGTAAAGTAAAAAATAAAGTTGACCACCAAGGTACAAAATTTATTTAAGCCTAGCTCACATGTATACTAACAAGCTCACATGTATACTAACAAGCTCACATGTATACTAACAAGCAGGGGAATCTATATTTCTTAAAGATTGGCCTGATCTCATGTATGCATGAGTACACTTCCTTTTCTTACTTATAACAAGCCCATAATGAGTTTGTCTATATAAAGCACTAACATTTTTTGTACTTAGGTAATGTGGGATATTAAAACCTTATGAGATACTAGATGTCCAACAATCTCCCACATATTTCATAGGGTTTCATAATAGGAATTTTTAATGGGTCTAATCTCATTCGAGTGTAATACATCGAGATTGGTGCTTTTTGAGCTATGAACCAAGCCTAGAAATAATGAAATATAAATCATAGAATTTTAGTAAAGTTTATGACTTATATGAGCCAAAAATTTATATGAAATATGATTTTCATCAATTACATTATACCTTTGCAATTTCTACTATTCAACATAGTTTTGCATGAATAGGTAATGCGCATGCTTAGTTATTCATAAGTGCTCTAGAGAATTTATTACTACTCTCATAGGAGTGGCTCTACTCCACACTTATATAGGTGATGTCATCAAGTGTATACTACAATTTAATACATGACCCATACAGAATATGAAATTTATTAAGAGTTTAACTCAACCTCTTTTGCATTACAGTTTTACACTACTCACATACCATAAGAGGGACAATAATTTTAATAGTGCATCAATTTCTCAACAAATAACTTATTATTACCTATATGAACTTAATTCATAGGATCGCCATTCACACAGGTTAGATTGTGGTTATTGTTGATTTTTCTTAATTGATTGAAGTCTCATTCCCCTCGATGTATAATTAATTAATTTTCTTTCTAAGGGTTTAGTAAGAGAATCAGCTAAATTCTGCTCTAACTTCACATAATTAATGGACATAATTCCATTTCTAAGTAACTGCTTAACCACATCATGTCTTAAATGAATGAATTTATTCTTATCATTGAAAGTTTTAGTTTTTGCAATGGCTATTACCGCTTGACAATCATAATACATAAACATAGAAGGTGTCGGTTTCATTCCTAATAGAATATCCACTGAGAGGTTTTTTAATCACGTAGCCTCGTTATCAGCCAACTCTAAAGCTATAAATTTTAATTCCATTGTAGATTTAATAATTATTGTTTACTTGATTGATTTCCAAGTAACAACATTGCCACCAAAGGTGAATACATAACTACTTGTGTATTTTGTCTCATCTAAATCTAAGATCCAATTAGCATCACTATAGCCTTTTAAGACAATAAAAAATCCATTATATAAAATATCATAGTTTATGGTACCTCTCAAATATTTCATTACTTTGCTCAAAATAGTTCAATGATCTCGATTGTGACTTTGTCTATATCTACTCAGCCTACACAAAGCATTAGATATATCAAGCTAAGTATATTTCATCAAATTCATCAGATTCTCAATAATTTAATCATACTCAGACTGAGCCACACTGTCACTTCTATTTTTCTTTAATTGGATATTAGTATTAAAGGAAGTACTCACAGGTATGACATTAAAATGTCTAAACTTTTTAAGTAGCCTCTTAACATAATATTCTTGTATTAGCATTAGGCCACTATCACATCTTATGATTTTAACACTTAAAATAATATTGGCTTCTCCCAAATCTTTCATATCAAACTTAGAAGTTAAAAAATATTTTATTTTATTTACCGCATCAATGCATGTACCAAAAATAAGTATATCATCAGCATATAAACTAACAATCATGCATTCACTATCAATAATTTTTGTGTACACACATTTATCAACTTTAACAGTAGAAAATTCATTACTAACAAGAACTAGATGAAATTTCTCATGTCATTATTTTGGTACTTGTTTTAAGCCATATAAAGATTTAATCAATTTATAAACTCTGTTTTCCTTGCCAGGAAGATCATATCCGTCGGGTTGTATCATATAAATTTCCTCTTCAAGTCACCAGTTAGAAAAGCTATTTTAATATCCATTTGATGAACAACAAGTTTAAAAATTGAAGTTAAGGCAAATAAAACAAGAATAGATGAATTAAGAATATTACTTTTAATACTAGATGAATTAAAAATCTATATGCAACACTATGTTCAACATATCCAATAAACATGCAATCAAATGATTTAGAGCCAATTTTTTTTCTTAGAATCAAGAAGCAAAACCTTAGCAAGTGACGCAACACTTTCAAATATTGTAAGTTAAGAGAATAGCTTTTTCATAATTCATAAGGTGACTTACCATAATTTTATTTGAAATATGACATGTAGCTAATAAAACTTCACTCTACAAATTTTCATGTGCATTAGAATTAACAAGCATATAATTAATCATTTCTTTTAATGTTTTAATTTTTCTTTCAGTTACATCATTTGATTCAGAGGAATATGGAGGAGTAATTTCATAAATTATTCTTTTCATAAATTATTCTTTCTTTTTGACAAAAACCATTAATCGGTATATATTCACCCTCTCTATCTAATATAACTCTTTTTATCTTTTTATTCAATTGATTTTCTACCTCAACTTTAGACTTAAGAAACATGTCAAAAGCTTCATCTTTATACTTTTGTAAATAAACTTTAGTAAATCTAGATTAGTCATTAATAAATGTAACATAATATTGCTTACTACCTCTAGTCTTAGTTTATTTTATATCTCCTAAATCAATATGAATTAAACTTAATAATTTAGATTCTCTATTTACTAAAATGTAAGTTTTCTTAGTCAATTTTTTTCAGCACAGGTTACACATTTACTAAAGCATGCATTTTTAATAATAGAAATTAAATATAGTGATTGGATTTTCTTATTATAAGGAATGCTAACATGTCCTAATTTACCATACTATAAATCAGTAAAGTCAATAATGTAAGCAGAAGAACTTGCATTTTCATTCATGATATTTGCAATGTTAAGTACAAAAAGTCACTAATTACAATAACCTTGTTCACAAACACATTAGTTTTTGTCATTACAATCTTGTCAAATTTAAATGACATTATCACCCTAACCTTGCCAAATAAAACCACAGAAACCAAGTCTGTCATACAGAACATCATTTAGAGCTAGGTTTACCAAATGTGAGCTTGAGAAGGACTTTTCCTTTACCAAAAACTTCAATAGTTCAAGAATCACTAAGATATATTATCTCCTCTCATTTTCCTATTGGAGTATAAGAGCAAAAATTTTTTGTTTGCTCAAATATACCTGGTAGCACCTAAGTCTATCACCCATTCTTTCCCATTGACCATAATATTGGCTTGAGAAATGACCACAACAATAATGTCATTTGTGGCTTGAAAAATGACCTTGGCTTGATCTCATGTGCGTGCAAACCTACTTTCTTTTCTTATTTAAAATAAGCTCATAATGAATTTGCTTATATAAAACAAACATTTTTTGTAGTTAGGCAATGTGGGTAAAGCAAAGTGGAGCTCTGATGGCTTGCATGGTAGAGCTCTATTTTTTATCAATAGATTCGAAATTCTTAATCCTCCATATGTTTAGGCTTGCACACCACCTCCATTACCATTAGTTACATTTTAGATGAACTGCTCAAGACAGCCATCAGAGCTCCATCTGAAAGGAGGAATCCGCAAGAATTCTATTCATGGCTGCTGCATGTATTTTCTAAGGACTCGTTTTATTATTATTATTATTATTATTTTGAAAAGCATTTTCTAAGGACTCGTTACCTTCATTACATTGACCAATCCATTCAGTGTATGATATATGCTCTCCATTTTGGGATGGGATGGCGACCCTGCAAGAAACTCATGTACGACCCCATCAATGCTGATCCAGCTATGCCCAGGCTGCTTCTTTACCCCCTTCTCCCTCATTAACCACCTCAGCACTGAAACATCATTCCATCGATGATCAACTGCTAATGTATTTGCCAACATCACATAGCCCCCAGAATTCTGAGGGTCAACTTCAACAAGCTTTTTGTACACTTTTTGGGCCAAGTCTGCTCTAGAATGGAGCACACAACCTCCAAGCAAAGCCCCCCAGACAAAGTTATTAGGCTCATAAGGCATGGAATCAACAACCGTGAGAGCTGCTTCAACAAGGCCAACTCTGGCAAGAATATCAATATAACAAGCATAATGTTCCAATCTAGGACGAACAGAGAACCGTGAGTTCATTTCTAGAAATATTTGTCTTCCTTCCTCTGACAAACCGGAGTGACTACATGCACATAGGAGGCCAAGGAATGTTCCAGCATTAGGATGCAAACCAAGCTCTTGCACTTTGGATAAGAGACTAACAGCTTCCTCACCTTCACCATTCATTGCGAGACCCATGATCATGGCATTGACCGAGACAACATCCTTAGAGATCATCTGATCAAAAACCCGTTTGGCCATCTCCAGATCCCCACATTTAGAATACATGTCTATTAACGCAGTGGCTACAAATGTGTTGGTTTCTAAAACCCCTTTGCGTCCGTTATATTCCAGGTACTGATGAACCCACTTTCCAAGATCTAAATCACCCATTTGAGCGCAAGCTGAAAGCACGCTAACCATTGTAACATGGTTAGGTCTACAATTAGAATCCTCCATCATTAAATGGAAAAGACTCAGAGCTTCCATGGGGCAACCATTTTGAACATATGCCCCAATCATAGCATTCCAGGGGATAACACTCATTTTTCCAATAGCATCAATCTCATTAAATCTTTCCCTACTTTTCTCAACATTTTCCAACCTACCATATAAGTAAATGAGAGCTATATTAACTGAATCACGATTCGGTATTTTATTATCAGAGTTATGAATGATTTCTGAGAGTATCGTTACCCATTTCTCAATATCAAAGATCTCAGCACTAGAACACGCTGATAAAACACTAACCATGGTATCATTTTCAGGCCGCAAATTCTTCTCAATCATTGAACAAAAAAGACGCAAAACTTCCTCACTCCGACCAGATCGTGCGTAACCTGAAATTAAGTTAGTCCAAGGAGTAACTAATCCTTTCTCCGGCATTTCATCAAACAACTTGTGTGCAGAAGCCACATCTTTAAACCCCTTGGCATAAACTGAAAGAAGACCATTACAGACAGTAGGATCACAAAGGTAACCCAATTTTACGATGTAGGTATGGATTTGTTTTACATGTTGGGCATCACTGGATAGAAAACATGCCTTTAGAAGGAAAGAAAAGGTGAGATCATTAGGAGAAAGAGAGCGTTGAATTAAGTTGTTGAAGAATGAAAATGCAAGGAAGAAGAGACCATTTTCAGCTAAGACTCTGATAATGGCATTGAAAGGGAAGATATTGGGATTGTGAAGTTGGTTAAATACACGAAGAGCGAATGAAGATGGGTAGTGTCCAATGAGACGAGTAGCTACCAGGTTGTCTTGATGGGCATTGAGTCTAAAGATACGGGCATGGATTTGGCGGAGATGAGAATGTGAAATACGGCCTTGTAATAAAAGGGATAGATTGTGGAAGTTAGAGGAGGATGAAGTGATAGACAGCGAATGAAGAAACTCAACAGCAAAGATGGATGAAGGGCTAAGAGTGATGAATCTGAAGGCGGTCGAAAATTGTTGGCACGATCGGAGCATAACTGAAGGCAATAGAGATTGAAGACGGAAATTCCATCTTGAAATCATTCATATACGATAAAATTCGGTAGACGAGCTACGGGCACGCCGATAATTGTACCGTCGGCAGCCCAAGATTGCGCGCGAAAAGCTTCCTACTTGGGAGTACTAATATGCTGTCAGGTTTGAAAGTCATTCTTAACTCATAATATTGATCATTCATACTTCAAACTATTACCCAGAGTCACATGGCGGGATAGACGCAAATACTGCATTTTCCGACCTTATATTCCTTCACCAAATTACAACTATTTCTGTACCACCACTAGCTGTAGATTTAAACTACCATATTTAAACCCCTAGACTGTGGCAGTGGCAGCCATCTCCTTCAAGATGGTTCAAGCAATCTTTCTCCTTGCAGCAAGATAAAGTGAGAAACAAAGAACTTTTGCTTAATAACACGATTATTAATCAGTAATAACAACAACATCGAATTTTTTTTTTTAAAAAAAAACAACAACAACATCGAAAAGCACTCAACATGAACAAAAACAAAGTATCCTTTTGTACATTAAAGAACTCTCCATCTGTAAGAGAGAATAGGGCCTAATCTTGTTCACTTCCTGCCTCTTCCTGAAAAAGAAGTTAGTTGCCTGCCAATTTACACTTCTATATACAGATGGAAGCCCTCGCAAAGGAGCAACACTAAACAACCTGCTCATCACCACAGCCATTATTTCCGGGACTGCTTGTCAAGGATAGAAGTTCCATCAGCTCCATCCGATATTCGAGGCCCCTAAGATAGTGCCCCAACAGCATACACCTTCAGGGAAGGAATGACTATATCAGAACTTGTTATATTAGCCATATTTAAATAATCATATCATAGGATGCAGACATGTAAATCCCATTGTATGTTTGGAAAGTGACTAAAGCTTATTCGGAGTTAAAACATGTAGAACATCTCTCAGATCTCCATATGCACATGTGATCAATTTCAGTCTTCCAAAGCCTAAAGATCAAATACAATATTAAATTCAAATTTAAACAGGATCCAACTATATATAATGAGCAATAAATGCAGAGCAACCCAGATTTCCTGTTAAAAAATGGATTCTTGGGCACCAGAAACCAGATTTTATTTTAAATATTAAAGCATTAAAAAAAGTATACACAAAGCTCTTGGGTAGTCCCGCATTAATGAAATAAATGAGAGAGAAAGAGAAAGAGAGTGAGAGAGAGGGAAGTTGGTCTAACCAGAAGAGAAGACGGGCAAGGTAGTCCCGCGTTAATGAAATAAAGGGCTGGAACTGCAATGAAGTATTCTCAACAAGTTCAGCACAATCTTCACTCCCAATATTTACAGCTCCAGGTGATGTGTTCTCTGACAAAGGAGGAACCTTGGAATGCATCCTTGGAGAAAGGGTGGCAGGGAGACCATGGACTACAGAGTGGATTGTTTCTTTCAATTCAGGGGATGTTGGTTCAGATAGCTCAGCTACCTGAAATTGATGTTGCAATTATTAGCCATGAGACAGTGTAGGATTTCACTGAAGTTCACAGCTACAGAAAAAGTTTCTTGAAACAGACTAAGCACTTGGCTGTAATAGAACAGAAACAAGATCTACATTAAAAATAAATGACCCATGGAAGAGTATTTATGATAGAAAAGCCCAGAAATATCAATTTAAAGTGAAATTGCTATGTGCCAGCAATTTGCAAGAAGCAGACGTATTACTTTAAACCAAAAGCTGTACGTCATCCCTAAACAAGTGAAAAGGCAAAAAATGTTCTTTTATCATTTCAATCTTCCCTTCACATTACTGTAGAAAAGCAAAGAACTTAAATTGTATGACCATAAGGAGATGTAACATTCATAGCATCATGTTAATGGCATATTAATAGTCAATTTGCTTTAAAAAATTTTGAGATCAAGGGAAACCTTTTCTGGTTGAAGTGATCTTAAGTAGTCCAGTAAATCATTCTTTTCTTCCCCAACAAACTGTTGCATCTGCAGAGCGGCATTTTTCCTCTTGACTTCATGAAGTTCCTTCGATAGAGAAAAAATGGGAAATATGAGCATGTCTCTAACCAAATTGCATATAAGGAATTGACAAAATTGAAAAGCAAAAATATACCTAAAGTACAGATAAATAAAAAGGAAAATGAGATGTTCACCAATTTGAGAAGGTTCATTCTTTTGATATAGAATGATGCAACCCTTAATGCATGATCCTAATCAACCATGGAACATTCCTCTCATGGAAAGTAGATTTTGCAAAGCCAGATATTTTCATAGCAGGCCAATTCTTTTATGAAGATTAACACTCAAAATATACAACTATGATAGTGATGTTGGAGGAAAGACAAATTTTTAATATCCTAGGAGTTTAGTTTTCAGTTCCCTCAAATGTTTTCCATCGATTGATGTATTCAAGTTGATCAGATGCATGTGTAACAAGATAACTATAACTATTTCTAGATAGTTCCCGTGTCTTGAAAGTATCTAAATTCTCTCGTATTGCTTTTGATATCAACAACTCAGAATGCATAGCATTTCAAGTTGGCTTAATAGGCGTTCAAAGGAGAATGTTACCTAAATATTGCAACATGTATATCAAGTCAGCCAAAAAAAAAACTAAAACGGATGAGAGAGAGAGAGATTCACATTTGGGCATGAGACAACAGCATCTTTTACCTTTCTAGCATCATTGGAATGCTTCATCATGATGCAAACTATAATGTGTTTATTATTATCAAACTCACACATAAAACCTAAAGGTACTGCTTTCTCCAGTCAATGTTCCAAGATAAACAATTTATGGATTCAAAGAAATAAATAGATGGACCAGAAAAGGCTCCTCAAAATGCTATAACATACCTTTTTCATTGAAGTTAGACGAGACTGCAAATGAAGAATGTATTTTTGAGTTTCAAGGGACATTTCACCCAGGCCTTGAAATTCTATATCTTCGAATTGGTCTTCAGTGGTTTTTTCAAATTCAGATGACAAATCATTTTTCCCTGAAGATTCATTTATTTTTGTACTGTCTAACAAAATCCCTTGTAAATCAAAGGTCGAGTTTTCAGAAGTTTGATTTTCCAAATCTCCTTCACAACCAAGGTTTCGCTCAAGGCAAAGCCTATATTCAGCATTCCTCAATGTATAGCTGCAATTCAAGAAGAACTATTATTCATAATACCCCTCACATTCTGACCTCCATCTATTGGAGGTAAATGCTACCCTGCGTGTCCCATGGTACATCAAACATTTAAACTTATGATCTTAGCATTAATATTAAAAACGAATGTTGTTAGGATTCACATGCGAAAGTGATTGTACCACATAAAAAAGAAATAGGATGTAAATGTGAAATATATAAATGGAGGATATGAACCCATTAGCTTTGGCTTTTGAGTTCAAGTGATGTCAACATATGTATATTAAGCCATTTTTAGCATCCCCTACATGGGTTCAAAATTTGGCTCTTCTCACCAACAAATGTTAGTATGACATCAACCCTTTTTTCAAAAAAGAGGGATAAATAGCACAGACATGTCCAACAAGCAGTGAAACTATCACAACAAGCATTAAAGCCCCTAGCCTAGGGGCCCTAAGCCCTTCGGCCTAGCTAAGGTTTCACCTGCTTGGCAACCAACCGAAGTATAGAACCATTTATTACAATGGTGCATATCATGTAGAATATAAACATACCCAGTCATCATAGAAGAAACCAACAACTTGGAGAGAGGTTCCCACAATGCCTCGATAAAGACTTGAAATCTATCAGATGGAAGTAAACCCAACATGCCTGAAATAGTCCTTTTCATGGCATCCACTGTTGTGGGAGGGACATCTTTTTGGATAAGGCTCACATCCAATGGTTCTATCTCCTGTATCAGATTGGTGAGGACTGATTTCTGAAAGAAAATGCTAAAAGTCAATTTCTAAATCATTACCAGAAGATCACTTTGAAAATAGTACATGTATGCATTAATTTGTAAACTAGAATCATTGCCTATCCTTGTTAATTCTTGTAAATATCAGGACTTATTACAAATGAACAAAAGCTGAAATATATTGGTAATTTTATAAATTTCCAGAAACACAAGGGCAAGAAAAACAAATGGGAACCTTCTCATATGAAAAGAAAACAAGAGAGTCATCATCCCAACTTATACTCCAAGTCCCATTGACTTCTTAACCCATCCCTTTCTCAAATGTGGTTCACATGGACAAACCACCACACATATTTTAAGTGGATATGTAAAAGTTAAAGGGATGTACATGTCCCCCAAAGTATTCATTAGTCAGGTTCGATGATCTCGTTACGTGTAGAAAAATTGAAACCAACTCCAATACACATGAAAATGATTATAGACTTTGGGAAAGAAATTGCCTTCCAGACTGTAGTCCATAATAAGGCTTTTATTCATTTCAGACCAGATTTTCAAGAGTAATGAGAATGTAATTAGCAAAACATAAATTACATCAGCTATAACTATACAGTTCATAGGTAACCATAACCTCAGCATCTAATATTCAGAGTAAAGAAAAAGAAAGGCAGAACTTAGATAATAGTAATTTATGAAAACAGCTGAAGTGCAATATTACATCAGTTTCAGTTCTGTAGATAACACTGTTTTCCTCCATCGTATATGAAAAAAGCATAAAAATTTGATACCACAATTTTGCACAATTTCCCATATTTTCTCAACAAACCAATGAAATGATAAATCTTAAATAATCCTAAAACAATTCAATCAATCTAAACATAAACATTTCTCGCCCACGAGATGAAATTCAAAACCCCAATTTCCTATTCTAACAAGTTCAGCGTAGCGTTATCAGCTAAGCCAAGAAGAAATACTTAAACTAAAATCAGCAATTCCAAACTAAATTTAGCAATTTGCCAATTTCCCACTACTTCGAATTCATACAAAGAAAATTTGAAAAGAAAAGAAACTTTCCAAAATTAAAAATGATTGGACAAAGCTGACCTTAGAGGGAGTAGGATTAGAACCGAAGGCATCATGGAAAGGAGAGGCATCGAAATTATTGGAAGAGAAAGCAAGGAGAGGGGTTTTGGGGAATTTTCTAGGGTTCGAAGAGGGGAGAGAGCGAAGAGCCGGGAAGGAGAGAAAGCGCTTTGAAATTGGATGCGATTGGTAAGAGAGGGAACGAGGAGGGAGATGAGAGGAAAGGAAAGAGGAAAGAGAGGTGGCCATATAGTTGAAATTTTGCCACCACTACTCTCGGCCCTCTTCCTCTCTTC